CCTTTAATATTTAAAGAACAAGAAACAAGAAAGATTTCGTGGAAACAAACTAAGACTTCGCGTGTCCAAGACCGAGAGGTTCCTCGATTATGATCGTGGATGAGAGCTTAATCGAAAATTAATCCGAGCCGCGCGCGATACTCGAAACTTTACGGAGGACACGATTCCATTATCGCGGCGGACTGCTTTTGGGTTATCTCGTACATGCCGTTCGCGAGATACGCTCGTTTCGATGTAAATTGAAAGCGGCGACGATCACCGGTCGGCGCGACCGCGAGAATAATTGCAAGATTAATCGGTCCCCAGTTCGCTCGATAGAAATATCAGTATTCCATGTTTGATCTGTCCTTTTTTTAATTTACGTTCTTTCAAGCCGGTTGCACATCACGCCTTGCCTCATCGAGATTAATCGACACGAGAACCCTTCCGGTAACGTCTTTCCACCTTTTCCCGTTCGTTACCGTTTGCCTTGTAAATACGACGTTTTCAGAAAAGTGTTTGCTGAAAAGCATCGGCTAGATTTAATAAGCTTTCGCGTGCTGTTCGTTAGGATTTTAACGAAGCTTTCATCCGACGCGGATGAAAAGTCTTCTCCGGTGATCTCTTCACGAGTTGGATAAACTCCGACTGCCTTTTTTTTTTAATATTTCGGTATTATGTATATGTTGGCATATTCTAAAGAACTTAAAGTTTCATTGGGTTCTTTCTGCTGACTTTTATGACTATTATAACGAGCTGACTGATGTTAACGAAGTCTTTGTGGATCGACTCTTGGCCAATTAACGTCGTCAAGAAAGTCGAGCTCTTGCCACAACTGAGACAATTCCTGGGGCGCATTTCGCATTAGACGTCGAACGAGAAGTTTAAACAAATTATTCTTGAAAGTTACGATACAGGAAATGCCTCGCGAGTCTCGGAATTAGTATGCGCGCGCTTGCAACGAGAAAAGCGACCAACTACATCAACATTAATACAGTCTTATACTTATAGAAATTCCAGACGAACTATTTAGACGATGGTTCTTTTAGCTATCTTGTTAAATTCGTATTAAATTCTGTAAGTCTCCATTATTGTCGTCGCAAATGTATTTTGTAGATAATTATCAGAAATTTACGAGGCTTTTTATATTTTCATTAAAATAAATTCAATTAAATATATACATCCCCTTCTTTTTTGCACTTTGTGATAATATCTAACGTACTATGGAAGTTAAAATTAAATACTAATCGGGCTCTCAAAATTAAAAAAACAAAAATATAATGTACAGACAATGAGAGCTTTACACAGCACGGGAATTGGTGCGCAATTTATATAATAGTCATAAAATCTTCACATAAAATATTGGAAACAATGACTTTCAATACAGACTTAATTCATACGTTTCGATTTACTTCAAACCATCTTCAGCCAATTCGTAGAACATTATAATAGATGTGCCGGCAGAATCGTTGGATAAAGTTGAAATTATGCTCTGTCTGAAACCGAGGATGAGTGTCTCTACTGTCTGGTAGGGAGTGGCCCATTTTCTGCCTCTCCGCTGTTTAGCCAAGTGACTAACTACATAGTAAAATAGGTATAATTATTTTTACCAATATGAATTCAATGTTTGCTTATAATGTTCTACAAATTTGCTGAAGATGGTTTTAAGTAAACCGAAACATATGAATTAAGTCTGTATTGAAAGTCATTGTTTCTAATATATTATGTGAAGATTTTATGACTATTATTATTATAAATTGCGCACCAATTCTCGCGCTGTATAAAACTCCCATTGTCCGTACATTATATTTTTGTTTTTTGTACTATGGAGAGTTGTGCGGGGATTTTGTTGATCAACCTAACAATCGACGGAGAAGTTCCGGAGATGTTTGCGGGATAATCGATCGAGGGAACATCTCGCCCGCGGCTGCGAGGGGGAAGGTCGGATAGCTCGTCGCCCTGATGAAATCCCCGAGAGCTCTTTTCATGCTAATAAGATTTCGCCGGTCGCGCCCAATGGATACGCGCCAAAGTGCGAGAGAAAGGCACTGCACCGTCGCCGTCGCGTTCGGCATGGAAGAGACACTGAGAGGAAGAGAAACGTACAAAGGGATACTGGCGCCTCGGCAGCCTCGGTACAGCCGAACGGGGGAATCCCTCGACATGGTACTTTTGTGTTGGCGCTATAATTCGATATTTTGAGCGCGACGCCGCAAGTGAGAAAAATAACGAGTTTTCCTGTAAAAGGATTCAGGAACATGTGGCCTATCCGACGAAATTCATTTCCAAGTTCACTTTCCGTCGACGAATAAAAAGTCGTCTAAACAGACGTATCTAATAGCTAAATTCGCACTAGTGTGCGCTCAGTACATATTAAAGGTACACAAATCAGATGTATTGACGTTAAGATGTGTTTAATATAAATATAAAAGTAGATAAACCGAAAAATCAATACTCTTTAGTATCCTATTTGATGAAATATATACCTTTTATTAAATTAATGTGTATAATGCCTATATAAGTCAACACAGGGTGTTCGTGTGCGAAAATTTCAAAACTTTATTATAAGAATTTACAATAGTCGGTAAACGTTTCGACCCCCGTTTCGGGTTCTCTTCAGTACAATACTTTTGATGGCGCAATTACAAGTAATGAGAAACAACGCAAATTGAAGAATGGTCCAATGTTCAAGATTTGTTGTACACCAAATTGTCTGATTTGCTACATAAAACGAGTACATATTTTATTATTTCATTGTTTAATTTCGGAGACTTATAAGCGTAGGTTTATGTCACTTATATGTAACGCTGAGTAGGACAAATCAAAAGTTTCATCAACAATGCAGATTTAAAAATAACTTTATTAGACCATCAAAATAATTATGTAGGGAACTCAAGAATAATGAGCAAACAATTTTTATATTATAGCAACCAGTTTGAGCGTTCTACATAATTATTTTAGTACTTTATTGAAATTATTTTTACAGATTTATATCTAGCTAAATTTTTAGATACTTTAACAAAACTATTCTTTTCATTACTTAACTTATAAACTAATGAAAAGCGAAGCTGTTGTTAAATTGAGTATAATAGACGTCTTATATAACATTCGGAAAGTCTCGGCAGATGTGTAGCAGATAAATATTAGTTACACGAAATGTAGATTCTCGCGTGAGATTCTACTGATCGTTTAGTCAAGAATACGAGAAATGGATGACGTTCACGTCGAACGTCGCCTGATATTTTCCTGTAATCCGTCGAGGCTTTATCGCGAACTTGCACGAGTAAATCCGCGTCTTCCCTGATGAATGCCGACGCTGTCGGTATCGTGTGCATACTGCATACGCGATCGCATCCCATTTCGACTAGCACACATTGTCGTGTTAAATGGAAACTGCCGACGACGACGCGACGCACGTTGGTCTCTGGTGAATTCGACGAAGTACACCCGTCCGTCCGCTCGATCGATCTGAAGGTATTGTCCGGTGAGGAAAGTCGAGAAATGAGGAAAATGATAAACGAGAACTGTGGGAACGATTCGCGATATTGCGAGACGATGCCGGTCGCATTCTCACTCGGTGTAAAATGATAAATTAAATTGTAGTTATAAATGCGTGCCGGATTATAAGAATGCCATTTCTCTTCGATGTTCACCACAATATTAATCTCGAACGCTGTATAGTATTTTACATAAATGAATAAGAGGTCGATTTTGATGGAATAAGTTTCGAATTGTTATACAAATAAAGATAGAAAAAAATTAATAAAAAATATAAGAAATAATATGAAATGACTATTTTGACGAAATTTGAATACTTGTTCCTATTCATACACTGAAAAAAATTCCTAAATAAATGTTTACTAAATGCAAACATACATTATTTGATTTAAGTATTACTTTCTTCTTAGGAATTTTTGTTTCAATATAGAAAAGCTGTTTATAAATTAATTTTAATATTAAAGAATCTTTTAAACTTTTTAAATGTATATATTAATAATTTAATTGTATTAGATTTATATTAGAGATATATAGTATAATGTTATTTTATTAAATTCGCGTATAAATATTTTAAAATAGAAAATAATATTTTGAATCGTGTTTATGTTGTTGTTTGTACATCACGAATGCTAAAATCAGATATGTTTGTTTATACTATATCTCGAGTTTAGTTTTCGAGATTTTCTCGGGAAGAAATAATGCTGTATGTTCCCTCTTTCCACAGCAAAAGAAGAGCACTTTATGTCGTTATTGAACAAACAACGATATGTACTTAATTCGAGCTCGTTCACGAAAGCGTGACTACGTCTATGTATGGTACGCTCAATGTACAAACTCTCTACATATGGGAACTGTTTATCCATTGGAACCAGCGTGACATATCGATCCAACATTGAACGCTTGTACTGTACATAATTCGCGTCTTCATTAGTCATCAGTACCTCTATCTATCTATGTACAGTTTACTAGCATGTAATCTCTGTTTTGCAGTACATACGTATACACAGAAACGCGTATACACTGAGAAAAATGTACTAAACTTTATCAAATATTTGTTTGAATAATATTAACTAAATATTTACTTACAATAAATAAATATTTACTCAAAAAATAATACTTAGGCCGGTATCATATTATTTGGTATATATGTATCATATTATTCGTACGTTTCGGTTTTTTTCAAACCATTGTTAGCGTATCCATAAATACTATATTAGATGTCTTTACAATAACATTGTCACAAAATTATTGTCAAGACATCTAATATAGTATGGATACAAATTAATTTCTAGCACAATATGATTTTAGAACTTTATCGTTTATAGTTTTTCGTCTGAAAAAAAGTAAGATTTTTTTTATTCCAAATTGTTACATATCTTTAGAGTATTTTTTCTTAAAAAGAGGCAAGGTCGTTTTTATTCCGTATTGATATTTTTATAGTCGCCTTTAGTACAAACGTCTCCGTATCATGTTCTCTGAGTACCGCACGTTTCTTCACGTGTCGTGAATTTCTGCTGTTACAGACGGAGCTGTCGCAGAATCTACAGCAGCTGTCGGAGAGAGCCCGCTCGACAACGGAGTTCATTCAAAGGCTCAAAGGAATGACGGATAAAGTACATGTGAGTATGGGCGCGCCTTTGGCGCCCGTTTTAAATTCCGTGTCGACGGATGTGTCAACGCGGTACGATGCCGTGAAATTGCGAAAAGATATGGCATTAATTACATCAGTTCTTTGATAGGAGGCACCCGCCGTGCATTCATCTCTGATGGCCGAAGGGATGATTTGAATATACAAAGGATAGCTTACAATCGGTGAACCAAATTCCGAAAGCCGACAGAGATTCCTTTTGATATAGTCTTCTATTTTCCCTTCTTTATGCACGGACATGCGTAATCAGTTTGATATTAGATTTCTCGTACAATATCTATATATATATATATATATATATATGAACATTATCTTCTACATTTAAATATGTATGTGCAAGTATGAAAAAATGTAAAACGATATTTTTAAAGAAGTTAAAGTATCCAAAATTAAACTTGTTCCATGAAAGTAGATTTATAAAAAGATATTTCTAGCAAAAAAAATTGCTACTCTATTTTTATAAAAATTAATTATTAATTTTCCGAATTATTTTTCCAATTTTCTGTAATGAAATATAAGTATTGAATATAATGACAGATCATAATTTCTTGTATACATTAAAAATACACATATTAAGTTCTCTGCAGAGAGAGTTTATCGTGAAATTCTGTCGCGCACAGATAATATTATATACTCGTATATATATAAAAGTAAAATATCGAGTAAAAGATATTTCGCGATATTACAATCAAAGAGAATAATCCATTTCAGGAGGAGTGCGTGGCGCTTGAGGAGGAGGTCGAGGATCGGGTAACGAACCTGGTGAGTCTTCTGCAAGCGAGAAAGTCACGGTTGATCGAAGCCGCTCGACAGACCAGGGAGGCCAGGGTGCGGTCGTTGCGGGACCAGGTGGCGAGATGCGCTACGCACCTACAGGCGACCACGGCGTTGCTCACGTTCTGCATCGAGGCGCTGAAGGAGACCGACAGCGCGGCCTTCTTGCAGATCGGCGGCATGTTGTCAGTCCGAGCAGCAACGGCCGCCGGTTCCTGGGGCGGTGCCGAGGGTGTGCAGGAGATCGCTCGTTTGCCGTTGCTCGATCTTACACTGGACGACAAACCGCTGCGCCGCGCCATCGATCAGCTCACCTTCGTCCAACTCAAACGTGAGTCCGCCGTGATAGGCGAATGTGGTTTACGTGGTTGTGCAATGTCCGTGTGCGAGCGTAGATTGAACCTATCCGGTGATCCATCCGGCAATGATCGCGAATAAATTTTACCGTGCGGACGAGTTCGGGTTTCCCGATAGCAACTACATCGCATTAAGACGAAATGAGAAATGACATGAATTTTTACTCACGGTGTACGTGAAGCAAATGAGCTTTTTGCACGCTACCATTTCCTCTTGATCGATTAGACTTGTATAACGTTCTGGTATACACGGTTCTTTAAAAAAAAGAAATCGATATTAAATTTGAAATTTATGCTTGAACGAACGAGAAACTTTAACTTTTTACAATTTGAACTAAATAAGATGTTCCGGGATAATCCTATAGAACTTCGCTGTTGATGTTATTGATTTCATTGCACTTACAAAGTACAGCTTAATTACTTGCTACGGAACTCAGTCAAAGTATCGTAGACCTATCGCGTGTACTAAAGAGGAAGTTACTTAGGAGCCAACGTGATTAGAGCTAACCAATAGATAATTTCGTTGCAGAAGAACATATCCGTGTAGTTTGATAATGAGATACATACAGTTTTCTACGATATACACTCTTACTTGAAATATCTATAATACGTAATGTCATACAATAAATAAAATGAACAAGAACCCTTGAAAAAGAAATTACAAAATTAAATTAAAAATAGAGCTAATAAGAGTTTAATGCACAGTTATATTATATAAAATAATAATCAGTACACAATAATTAATTGAATGTTCGGCTCAAATTTAAGTCATTTTCAGTAAACAGTCGTACTTACGAATGAAAATATACTTTAAATCATGGAGATTTCGTCTCACGTTTTAGTTTTGAGCTAAATTCAAAAGTGCAAATTGGTTACAAATAAAGCCAAGTAATGACAATAATAAAATTAGATTAAAACTAGGAGATTAAAAAAATATTGCTTAAGATAAATCTTCCCCAAATAACCTTTGACATTAAAAATATGTATTTCTCATTCAAACGAATAGCATATGTTTTAATAATTTAATAATTTTGCAAACATTTTGTGAAAGACTTTTTCTCTGAAAAATCGCCGCAACAGTCGTTTGAATAAGTCAGATATTTCTTCGTCACGATGTCTGAGATAGTTCGTAAAACATCTCGTTGGCTCCACGTCCTCGTCAGAAACTCATCCGCTTAGTTCGTTACGCGAACTGAATTGTTCATGATGGTTCGTCGAATCCTAGCTCGCATTGCGTACCTATGTATATATCCGCGATAAAACAACGATCGTAAAAGCGGTGTAAACTCGTTCGAAAGACGACTTCGTGCACGCTTAATTGACTCGTAGCTTCTCGTTCCGCGACTACCGGGATTTTGTAGAGCGATTTATCTTTACGAGGCCGCGCTGATCGCGCAACTTTGTACAAGTCTTGTTCGTTGATAGTCGTTTACCTCTCAAATCGACGAAACGGAGGTTACACACGCTACTGTAAGCTTCGACTTTCTTGTTATTACGTAACTCCTGAAACGACTAGCAATGACAATTACAGTTCTGTTATATAGATTATTTAGATTAGCTGCAATTTTACGCTCTGGATCACACGATTCATATCTTGTCTTTATTAATCAATTTTAAGATATCTGCAGGCTTGATAATAGTCGCGTGAAAGGAATAATAATTTTTTACGCAAATTAATAACTCCCGCGATTGTAAATTAACAGAGTAATCAAAAGTAAAGGTATCTGATATTCCGATAAGAGACTTTCGAACGAGTTTTGTTTGACGTTGTGTTTGCATGCAATGTACGTAAATGGATGCAAATATTTTCATTGATTATAAATCACTTTACTGTTGGACGCAGCGTCAGAGGGGGAAGAACGATTTCCTACAGCAGGTAAAGGAAACTCGATAATAGTAAACGCAGTTGTAGACATATATTTAAATATTAGTGACACGGGAAAGGAAAAAAGAGATGAAAAAAAAAATAATTAAGAGAGATGAAGGAGGCGTCAATCTCACCCGCCAAAGTCGTCTAGACGGCTGAGAGATGACGAGGGAAGAGAGTAGGGGGGGGGGTCTGCTTAATAATTTTACGTAGCCCCCGGCAACGTCTCCTTTAAGCATGCCTCCTTGCTCGCCATAGCTTTGCCGTACACTAAAACGTTTCAAAAGCGGATTAATTAGGTACCGGCTTTGCAGTAACTGCTATAACGATCTGGAGGTATTAACTCGTTACAAGGAGACAACCTCTCCTTACTGTTCGCTGGGTATATACGGCTCTTCGTTGATGCTGGGTGTTACGGACCGATGTCAGATCGGAAAACGTTAATCACATCTGATTAACGTGTTTACAGATGTATGGATAACTTAATAACGTAGGGATAGAAGGACGGGAGTCACAAGACAGACGGAAACTCGAAATTCAATTCACTCGAGTGGCAAATAAAATTATCGATTTCGTCGACTCAATTTGACGATGGAATCAACCCAGAATTGGTCAAAGCACTCGCCATTAAAATTAAGGATACCACGTGCGGCAAGCACGTTATACTCGCTCATTATTTTAACAAATTTACAACCGCGCGTTCTGATTGAAATTAGGAAAGGAGAGTTAATGAAATACAAATCTATTTAACGAAACCTGATAAACGATCATCGTCAAGAAAGGTGTAAATTCGCTTCTCTATCAAGACATTTCACTTTCGTGGAATCTTGATACAAATCGTACGGTGATATCAGAAAGTTTCTTCATTACTCGCAGTTTGCTCGTCAAAGAGTGGCACGCCTCGGTTCGTTAAAATCTGCGATCGGCAGTCACACGGAATTTCATTTACTTAACCCGGCTTTGCAAATAGCAAAGCGAGGAATGTGCCCCGTGGAAACTTTCAAGTTCGCGGGAATTCCGCGTAAAGTTTCCAACGAAATCACTCGAGCGCGTTTCCCAGAATTTAACGAATGTAATACCTACATTAGAAAAGTATATGTATATTTCGTTGGATTACGAATTTCTTTTTTCCTTTAACTTTTCGAAGCACGGGATTTTACAACAAAAAGTGTCTTGTATAGAAATTATTTTTATAAAATGTGACAGAGTAGTTTAATTATTTGTGGAGAGAGAGAGAGAGAGAGAATACAATATTACACAAAATAATAAAAAAAAATAAATGTTATTTATGTAATTAATTATAAGAAGGGATATATTCAAGCCTACCAGATGTAAATTTCTGTGTTTCTAGTAATTTCATGATTTAAAGATGGGATGAATAATGTCCACCATGCACGTTCAAACATTTCAATCTCGGTGGAGTGAACTTAATCGAACCTAAAAATTCCATCATATTAAGACGAGGAAGAGACAAGCAATCGACGATGAACGACGATGAGTCCATGTTCCTGAACAAGTGCTCTGCTTTCTTAAATTTCGACCTTATTGCGGTTTCAACTTTAGTGCGATCGCCAATATCTCGAGTTTTACGACACGTAAAATTGTTGAATTTTTCGGGCCGCTGCTAAATCTCGTTATTATCTGCCTCCGTGGATTTAAAGGCGACCGGGCTGCTCTGAAGTTAAAAATTTGTCGTTGCAGAATTCGTGTGGCTTATCGTATTTCATTTTATAGCGCGGTGCACCGATTATGAGCGCGAATCGTTATTGCCTGGTAAAATGTTACGTTTATGTCAATGCCGTAAATGTAAGTAATATAAATTTATTATGAAATGTAAAATCACTTTTCTTGGAGTGAAATTTAGAGTGTATAAAATTTAAAGTCAATTTTTTTCGATATTTTTGGCAAATCAGCACTTAGTATTCTGCTCTATTTGATCAATAGATTTCTCTCTAATAGCGCCGTTATTATAGAAAAGGAGAACGAAGAATCGGTCTAAACGTCGAACGAAAAATTAAACGTAGGCTTGTCGTATACGAGGCTGACGACCGTACAATGCGACGTTCCATACGTATGTCTCGCCAAGATAACATGAGTAAACGGGAATTGTACCTCCTCGACGCTGGCAGATTAATTCGCTCATTAATTTATATGCTTGCGATGATGCAATCACGCTCTGTCGTCAGCGACTGTTCTTTTAATAGCAACACTGATTCTTTTAGCGCCTAAGTTCTCTAGTCATTATATGTATAGTGACTATAATGCGCGTAACTTTTAATGCGAATATTTTATTCAAAGGATGTTTAAATTTCTCTACATAGATAGAAATAGATGAGATATAAAACTTTATCATAGTGTGTCTTAAAACAAATATAACGCTATTTATTATAGAAATATTTTTTTAGTGAAGAAAGAAATATTAATCTTTTCTTCTATATTTAATCTAAAATAAATCAGAAATTAAAATAATTATACATATACATCGTATATGTATAATTTATAATTTTTATTTAAATACGAAAACAGTTTCTTTTTTTACTAGAAAATTCTTTACTTTTTATTTAAATAATTAACTCTTCAGAATCTTACGAGTTCATTGTATATATTAATATATTAATATATTAATAATGTATAATATATTAATATATGTATATAATATTTATTGTATACATAATATGTATAATATATTTATAATATGTCTAATAAATTTAATATGTACAATAAAAATGTACATATATTCTATATATATAATATGTATAGTAAATTTCATACAAAATTCTAAAGAGTCAAATAAAAATTTAATCAACTTCATAAGTTGAGTCTGGCAGTTCCTCTTTTTTTTTATCTGATTATAACTCTCATAGTAACGAAGAACAGGAAAGAAATGTGTCATAGGCAATAAGTGCATCTATCTGCGAACGTAATATAAGGAAAAGAGGACTGTCGTACTGTATCGAACTCAAATAAAAAGTATAATCGAAGATTCTCAAGAGTTCGAAAGAAGTTTCTCGCGTGCAAATAATTGTCTCGCGTTTCGAGAAAGTGCCGAAGTGAACGTGATTATTTCAAGAATGCTTCTGCGCTTGGAGTGAAGCGTGAAAGATCGTCTTCTGCGAACTTCGTCAAGATCTGTCGAGTCTCGCGAGAAGACCATTTTTCGCCAAGTCAAGAACCGTCCGTCCTTTGCGAAGTTTATTTTCACCTGTCGCTAAGTTTTATCAGCAAGATATATTTCGCACGCGATACATTTAAACGGGCTATCGGCGCATTCTCCGCTTCGTCATGACTCTCTCCCCCCCCCCCCCCCCCACTATATAACCCTTATCGGTGCATTCTTTTTCCACGTTTTCCTCACAAAGTGAACAGAATGAATGAGAGAGAAACAGAGAGGGAGAGAGAGAGAGAGAGAGAGAGAGAGAGAGAGAGAGAGAGAAGGAGGAAAAGCGAGAGAGTCTGGGTACGTATCGAATATCGGCGCGGCGTGGCGCGACGCGTCTCGCGCCGTTCGATAAATCATTCCGATATGGGCATAAAGTTTCGTCGGTGTGTCGATTCACGTCGAACCCCATTGTAAAGCTGTAAAAAGAGCGATCGTAACAGTTTTTTATCCGCGTACGTTGTTTCCACGCGTCTCTGTCGAGACCGTGCCGCTCCTTCGAAAGCGGAGATCTTCGAGTCACTCGCGTGCACCTGTTCTGCCCATTAATTTCCACTTTTACGAGCGCACCCTCGTAAAAGGCGGATGATCGATATTTCGTGTTCCCTCGCGACTTTTTTAGCCAGCTTTAATTGACGCCGCGGTAACCATTACGCTTCTCGCTTCATCTGGATTCTTGTCGTTATTCGGTCGAATCGTAAACGTTACAAGCACAATATCGGTTCTCTCTCTCTCTCTCTCTCTCTCTCTCTCTCTCGCTCTTTGAGTTTGTTGCGCGACGGGATGATCCCGATTGACCACCACCTCTCGATTGAACACCACCAATCACAGCGACCGGTGCTAGGAGCTTTGTAGTCTCAAGCGCTGTGAGTGGCTCGTGTCCAATTAAGCCGTGTCCAACTGGGTGCCACCCTTGCGCGACGATTTGTTCAAATTTCACCCTCCATCATCAATGTGAAATTTTCACCCTTCGTCTGCAACTTGAGCCTTCCAACTTCAATACAAAATTTTACAATATATTATTCCAGACTATATACACTGAAAAAATTTTTATATACTCGTAGAAGCTTTAATAAGTATTTAAGTTTTTGCCGTTTTTATCATCATAGAAGTTGGATGATATTTGATTTATTTTTTACAGATTTAACTATCAAAATTTATAATAAAAAAATCGATTGTGCCTTTAACTTTAAAATTCAACATTGTGAGTAGAAGGTTAATTAAACGTTAGCAATAATACTTTTAATTAACCTTTAGGACCTTTACTTGTTAGATCGTATTAGTTTCTTATATATCATTAGAGATAATATCAAAAGAAATCATTATCCACGATGGCTATAATATATAGAGATTATGGACTCGCCCGTTTGATAGCACCGACATAAAATCCGACGAAATCCGGGATAATCGATTGTAATGTCGACGACATAGAGCGACGGAGCGTGGTGCAACGGAATTTACCGTGTGAACGGCTCCATCGAGGTTCCATGTCGGATTACACGAGTTTTTGGATCGCGATAAGCGGTGTAACCGGAAGAGAGTTTATTCTACGCCGCGTTGCTCTTTTCCTATTTGACATAAACGACTTTTCTCTCTTCGATTTTCACCATGTCGCACGTCACGCAAATTATATGATCCCACGATCATACGAGTGCACTTAACACCGTCCCAAAAATTACACTTCGAATTCTTATATCGTAATTTTAATAATTTTTTTATGTGCAAATTTTTTGCATTTTAACTAGAAAAGCTATTAGCTTTATTAAGCTTTCGAATTGTAGCGAGATGTTTAATCTGGGAATAGCCACGTGGGAATATTTTTACATCACAGCGATGGAAAAATATGAATTGT